GTGAGCATTACTCATTTCTGGACTTTGTTCGTTATCCGAGAATTCTATATTTCCTTTGAGGTGAGGAATAAGACTTACGGTACTGCTTTATATCTGAAAGCTGTAGCAACGTGTCTTTTTAGTTGAATCCAATGCTCAGACATGTACCAGCTTTTCCAAATCTTCCTTAGATATTTGCTTCGTTCAATAAATCCGCATAATGCAATGTCATCTTATGACATCTCACGCTCTGGTAGACGAGAACAACAAACAGTTTTCGCCTGCACCATTACAGTTAGTGCGTCGTCAAATTAGTTGATATCATGTATGGTCGCATGTAATTGCGGCTAACTTGCGCCGGAAATACGATTTCTACGTAGACATCTCATCACCTCTTTAGATATTGTGCCTGTTTACTGTATCATTTGCATTCTTTCCTTTACTATGTGCTGTTTGGCGGAGTTTAGGGAGAAACAATTCTTGTAAAATCATTCATTCCTTCTAAGTCTGTGCTATGGTGATGCGGTATTTGGCTCATGTAACCTAATAGCAACCATTTCCTTATTTAGAAGCATGACATTGCTTCATCTTATCCGAAATTATAATCAACATAGGGTTACTCCGTCATATCTGCTGTAAGATTGTGTCATCGTAACACAGCTCCTCTCTCCTAATCATAAAATATGTCAGGAAGTACACAACACAACGGCGAAACTCTTTAAAGGGCTATAAATTTTGAGAAATTGTATCGAAAAGTCTTGTTTTTGCAGTTTTACACTCATGCAACTTTCTTATGAAATGTTCTCCTTATGTTTCCTCCGGAAGTAGTGTCTCCAAAGATTCTCTACTTTTCAAATGAACATGGACTTTGCGTAACGGGTAGACTTCTGATACTCTTAAGTGAGTTGGCGTAATGCCATTAAAGCAACTTCCGTATCAAATTAGAGAAAACAACGCTGTGCAAAATCGACACTGTCATTGTCACGTTTGTCCAAATCTACTTTTGAAGGTTACACGCTTCAGTCATCAGTGGCTTTTCCTCTCTCTTAACTGAAAGTAGTAGAATACTATGCAAGAGAGCTTGAGCAGCCAGTTTACCTCTTTAACAGGTTTTTAATTGAGAAATTTCTCTTTGAACAATCCAGATTGGAAAATCCACTTTGATGTTTTTAACTAGAATTACAATCTGTCGGTTCTTCATAATCGTTGGTATACTTACAAGGACTACATATTCTCGTCTTCCCCAAAAAAAAGAGATCTGTAACAATAGTTATAAATTTACAATGATGGTCGTAAATCGAATTAAAAATGCTGAGAAGTGTTTGCGGAGT